TAGTAGTAGTAGTGGTCGTGGTCGTGCTAGTGGTCGTCGTCCTTCTTGTCGTCGTCGTCGTCGTCGATAGTGCTGCAATGGTCCCGCGGGTGACGGTAGCAGCGTTATCGTCAACGGCTACCTTCGCATACAAACTCTCCCGTCTCTCCTGGCACCATATGGGCAGCCGCCGATGAACGCCACCACAGCCGTAGTGCCAGGTCCGGATGACTTGCACGCAGGGTTCACATCTTATGGGACAATCAGTTGGTATACCTGAAACCTACATCGTGCTGTGTAAAGGGTCGTGCGGAAACAGATGGTGACCCTACTGCACTTCAGTTTGTTGGGCGGCTTCGCGCTCTGAAGTCTGCACCATTTGCTGTTGACAGTCTTCTCCGAGCTCTCGAGACAAAGGCCCTCAAACTAAACTGTACAGACCTACCTCGCGCAAGGAGCTGTCGGGCTTCGAAGCAAGGAAGATGTTGACAGCCTCGACACGTGTCGGACATGAATTTGCTGAATGGAGAGGCTTAGAAGTACGACAGTGGTTGCTGCTCAAGCCGACAATCGCTCAGCTCTGGGACGTCGTGCATCCGAGCTTGTAGTTTCGCATTAGCACGACGACCCGAGTCTCATGTCGCAAGCCGTACAGAAAGTAAGTGCCCTGCCCAGTGTAACGTGCACGCCCCTGAGAGGACAGCTCGAGGCTCAAACTGTTGCTTGGACATGCAACATCTGGCCTGGCCTCTGGCGCATCCAGGAAAGCCCATACGAAGCCCGGAGACGCCAACGCCGCCTATGCTGTGGAACATTTCAAATCAACTCTACTTGTACATGCTCATCTTTGTGCCCTTGTTTTGCAAGCAGTTTGGCAACGCAAGCTGCACGAGGTCATCCAAGTGAAGTGAACCCGAGAATACATGTTATAGACCGGCTAGCATACATATATATATATATANNACATATATACATACACATATACATATACACGTACATATACATGCATGCGTATACATACATACTTTCATACATACATACATACATACATACATACATACATACATACATACATACAGACAGATTTATTTACTTGAATTCCTTTATGTGTACCATATAGACTATAGATGTACATACGTATAAATGTGTGTATATATATATATATATATTATATACATATATAATATATATATATATATTATATATGTATATATGCTGTTCTTGACCACTATGTAACCATTTAGTGTGAGAGAAGAAGACTTGCACAGCATGTGTATCTTCCTTTGCGTCTGTGTGCCTGTCCATGATTTTGTCTGGCTGTGTTGCTTCTTTGATGGTGCATGTATCTGTTCTGTGTGTAACTGATCGAAGTATTCAGCTAGCCAGCTAGCTAGTCAACTGAAACCTTCGTCATGGCATTGCTTCGTTAGTCCGCTGACTGGTCAGCTCTGTACTTATTCAGCTACTTGCCCGATAGCTTGCAAGCTTGCTTTCTGCCTGCTTGCTTTTGTCCCTGCCTGGCCGCCTGGCTGGCTGGCCGGCAGGCAGGCTGGCTTGAATGAGTCAGCCAGGAGTTAGGCTAGTTGGTTGGTCGTTCGGTGTATTTGCCAGATACTTAGCTAGACTAGTCAATTAGCCAGCAGGTCAGCTGATCAGACAACATACAAGCCCTGGCGGCACCAGCAAGGACGCAGGATGGCGTAGCGAAGGGAGGGGCCTCTTGCTGACAGCCTGACTGCTGCAATTCTTGGCATCGTAACTTGAAGTTCGAACCGGAAGAATCGAGATAGCCAGAGACCGAATCAGCTTCTTGCAAGGGACTTTGGTAACACGAACATCGCGATGCAGAAGCTTGGGCAGAGAGTGATACATCTATAATCTACATATTCGCTGTGCAAAACGGGGACCAACCTGAAAGACCTCACGATTCAGACCTGCGAGACAGATTCCCGAACATGTTGTTGCTACAGGCGAATGCCAGAGCAAGTCAGTCCTATGCTGGCCTATGCCGAATCCACACACCCTGAAAGAGGCCCTGTAGAAAGCATTAGTTCAACTCCAAGGCTGGCGGGTTTGCCGCTGCACCGTTGCGGTGTTCAAGCTCGAACTTTGTCATCAGGCATTTTGGGCTTGCGGGCATTTGCGGCCGAAGTTCAGCTGGAAGATGAGCTCGTCGCAACGAGGCAGCCTTGAAGTGGGGCAAGGCGCGTCCAAAACGCACGGCTGAAGGCCCTTGTTTGCATCTGCACGGGCTGTTTGTATCTTCACCGGCTGCCGACTAACCCTCTGGAGGACGCAACCCGGAACATAATCAAGTCCGACGAAACACCAAGGAAATGCAAAGTCATCTGACAGCTGTGCTCTTATAAATATAAATGCCAGAGTATAAACATAAGCCCAGATGAGAGACCTTCCAAACCCCATCGGGTCCAACAAAGCATCCAGGCCACCGGGGCCCCAACGGCGTCGCCAACTCGCACTCCAGCGCTGCTTCACGGGCAGACAGCAGGGCCACAGCCTTCGCGGAACTTTAGCGGCCAGCTTTCAGCTTTTGGGGAACGGCGAGACATTGAGCGCTTCGGCTTGCCAAGTGCCTGGTCCCGATAGCGGCTGGACCCAGCATTCAAGCGGTGTTGGTGGTTTGGTCATTTGGTTGTGGAAATGTTGACGGACACACTCATCGTGACCACATCTTTAGCCGGGGCATGTTGCAGGTAGGACAATTGCCGCAGCGCTTGCAGACGTGCAGCAGCTTTCCACACTCAGAGGCTGCTACTGGAAGCCTGCTTTGACAGTCTGATGTCTTCCGTGGCATCCGCAGCTATTCCCCAGAATTCCCCAAAACCAAACCCGGAGCCTTGTCTGCCTCGCCGCTCATGCTCAGACGCAAAGTCTCGGTCTGCAGGCGGGAAAGGATGTTCAGGGACATACTAGGGGTAGGGGCTCGACATGTGGAGGCCCTGCATGACCCGAATGCGTCTCTGCGAGGCCGAAGTCATCCAAGTGACACTGGGCTGCTGAGAGACTTTGCCTAGTCTCGTACTTACGAAGTGAGGGAGTGATCACTACGTCATGACAGGTATTGAAAGCTTGACGTGTACCGCGCTGCCACAACAAGCAGCCCTCGGGCACAAACAGATACCACGAGGTCCTGGGCCCAAGCATCTGCACTGCACCGCAGGACCAAGGCACCACAGAAATCCTGCAAGCTCCCGAATCTTCATCCCCGAGCCCAAGGACTTGCACCCCACTGACCAAACGCGAAGAATGCCGAGGGCTGGTTTCGAGTGTTCTAGGCTACAAGTTCGTTCGGCGCCACCTGGATCGCCTGGGACTTCTCGGCAACTGCCTCCAACTGTGCCTGACTGAGGAGAGATGTTTTGTCTGCAGCTATATAGAGACAATGCCTCGGATGCGACATAAAAACGAACCCCGACGAGTACATGCAGCAAGCCTTAACCCCGAAACTATGAGAACTGCACCTGCAGGTGCCGACCTCGTGGTAGTGATATCGCCACACCAGGAATGCCCGCCTGAGACGCAGGCCCCAGGTCCCAAATGCCCTTCTTAAACAACCCCCCCTTCCCCTCCTCCCCCCAAATGAGTGAATCCATCTCGCTCCTACGCATCCTTCTGCTTCAGGGTTCAGGGCTTCAGTCGCGTACCTAACTATGTAGTATAAGTAACCCTTAGCCTAAACGGCATACTATAATCCCCAAATATTCCGAGGCATTGTCCTTTAGTTGTGCTACGATGAGGAAAAATTCGGGTGCAGAGCTTCGGTGGTTCGCATTTGAGGGGTGCAGAGTTTTAGGTTTCATCGATTTTGTGACGTTGGCTGTAGGGTGTTGTGGGGACTTGGGTTTTCAGGGTTGCCAGCGACAGCTTGCTGGAAAGATAGGAAAAAGTTGGGAAATAAGCCTTCGCAAAGAAAAAGGTTCGTAACTCTCAAACCGAAGCCAAGCTGAAGAACTGGTCATTCTCGAGGCCCCGGGCCCAGCCTTGAGAGACAGGCAGCTGCAGTGGAGGAGGCCAGCCTTCCAAGGCGAGTCTCTCTTCCCCAACATATATATATATATATATATATATATATGCGTTTTGCGGTGGCACCAGGGCAGCACCGATTTCAAGGGCGCCTGGCCTGGAACAGAGCAGCTCCAGGCGCCCCTCACTCACCTGAAAGCCACGAAGGCACTGCATGCACTGCACCGCCGGACATGCATCTTCCAGAAAGCTTGAAGCCCGACGCCGCGAGCCCGATAAAGATGCTACGCTGCTGTGCAAGCACGTGAATGAATCATTTACGGTGGAATCCATTTTTGGTGCAGGGCTTGATGTCCGGGTGTCAATATCGGGGTGCAAATTGGGCAACAAGAACACTTTATGCCAAGAACCCTCGACTTTGTGCGAGCGGGCGTCATGCTGGGCTCCTGCGGCTCTTGCCACTTCTGCAGCGTGGGTTTGTGCCAACCTGTCAACTCACGGAACTGTAGGGCCGCAGGCAGAGATTGAAACCTTCGACGTCTATGTTCGGTGGTCGCAAACTGAGCTGCACGTGGCCTGAAAGTTCTTGAGGTTCTTGCTGCCGGCTTCTCTGGACTTTACATATAAGCGACCCTGCAAGTGTTCTTCCGCCGTGCCTCTCCTGCCTGCGCAGGCGGGCATCGCGGCGCAGAGAGAGCCGCCAGGCGGAGAGCGCTCGGAGAAGCCTGGGCAGCGGTTGTGGCGGAGAAGCCCAAGACTAAGACGACTAAGGCCCAAGGACAAGCTCAGGAGATGGCCCTGCCCTGTTCCGGAGGCGAAAGTGGAGCTCTGCCAACACCTTGGCCCGAAAACCCGCACTTGGCGAGGGAGTTCGGGCCTTCCGCAGCTGCAGGAACTCTGTCATAAAACCCGCCGCAGCGACATCGGAGACATAACCCCAACCACCTGGTAGAGTTAGAGAGGATTCGACTCCAAGGCAGGAGCTGGGCAGTAGCCGGACTTCGACTTCGCCTCGCCGGCCCAGGCCTGGGGGGCGAATGGGACGACAGGGGAGAGTTAGAGTTGAGCCAAACAGGGCTCTTAGCAAGAGAAGGCTAAGACGGAGGAGCACATTTAGCGCAGCTGAGTACGTACGACAACTCTGAGATCGACTGCTCCGACCTGCACCTCCGCCTCAAGTTCACCAGACAGCTCAGCGCCGCACTCGGAACGACACCTTGGTGAACTCCGTGCTAAAGCAGTTCAGCGGGAGTTCTGATCACGGACGTCACCCAACTCAAGCCTCAAGCCATGGATGGATGTACAGGCCCAACGGAACAAAGCACATCGCTCCGCCATTCCAAACGATGTGCACTCCTGATGTCTGAAAACTAAGCCCGCACTGCCCGACTCAAAAAAGTAACAAGACGTCCAAACCCCAAGCATGGGATCCCAGCACGCAGCAGGAAGAGCCCGCAGCGTCGATGTGAGGCATGGCCCAGGAACCTTTGAATGGGTCTCGGCTTCGGCGTTCAAGTGCAGCTTCAGCTCGGATGGCTTTGGAGTTTGAAGTCGTAAGAATCTCAAGAAGTGTGATTCCTCGGCCAGGGTATCCAAAGCCAAGTAGATCATACTCGACGTTTGGGCAGGTCTCGATATCACAGCTTGAGCGGCAAACTGGTTGTCAGAGAAGATCACCAACTTCAGTCTCAGGAGGGCGTTCCGAGGCTGGCGCCGCAATCTTGTCTTGCCACCGCTTCCACTTCTGCCACCTCCACTGCCTGCACGCACACCACTGTCCGGGCAAGGAGCTGCAGCACCACGCTCTGCGTGTCACCGCCGCATTGGCGAAGATGGGAAGCGGGAAGCGCTCTCCCTCAATTCGCTCGGGTCCGCCTCCTGCCGGGCGTGAGTCCTCTGCAGTCGCCCTGAAGAGGACGTTGCGGAGCTGCTGCCGCGCTTCTTGCAGCTCCTGGCTACGTGCAGGTGCGGCATGGGCCATTGCGGGCAGTGGAATTCGAGTTGAGCTGGGGCCGGCCGGTGTATACAAGCCCGGGCGAGTCATGATGACTTTGGATCCAGATTCGATCTTCAGGTTAACCTTTTGAAGCCCGTGACCGCCATGACCCATGCTGGGTTGACGAGATACAAGCCCCAAGGCCAAAAGCCCGCTTCCCAGATCAAACCTTCAAAATCCTCGAAACCAAACACTTTCAGGAAACTGAGGACTGCCTGGAGAGCGGCGGCAAGACTTCCACCTCCAACCATCCGCAGACAAGGATAAAAGCCCCTTTGACTTTCACGATCTTTCTTGCGCCAGAAGAGTAAGCATTTCCTCTCAATGGCCTCCACTCAACCACCTTCCTACTCTCCACCGCTCGATCTCACTGTTGGCTGTCGCATCCCACAGCACCTTTGGCTGGGTCTTTTGTAACGACCTGCCTTGACCAGCCATGCCGAGACCTGACAGCTTCAGCAGGAGAGCGCGGAGCAGAGTGGAGCTGTCGTCCTCTCGACTGTGCAGCCCGAGGCAGCCGAAAAGCACTAAGCCACTTACCACAAGCAGAAGAACGCAACACCCCAGGACGGCAATCCTAAATCCTGCATGTCGTGCTGCGAAACCTTATAGAAATCATGACGTCTGCCAGCGGCTTCGACTGAGGTGAGCGCTTCCCGGCGGCATGTAGAGCCATCTCGCATCGAAACGGTTGCCCCGCTCGAACATCCATGGCTCTCCCCATGCCCACCACTGCGTCCGAAACAACAAGCCGCTCGCTACCTGCTAAACAACTAGTAGATGATGGCCAGTCATCGAAGTTGGAAAAGCCGAACAATCATGTAGCTGAATTGCCCACCGTACTTTCTAATCTCATCACAACTCACATCTCGCTGCAGAGCGAAACCACGTGTTCGGAGAAGTCTTCTTACACGTCTCCAAGATGAGCCCCATGTTCAGACACAACCCAGCCCAGCTCACCGTAGTGCCGCTCATTGAGACGCCAGGAGTTGATGATGGGCCTAGGATGCGATTGCATGCGCTTCACATGCCGAAGCCGAGATTGGTTGACCAACACCCGACGTCTGGGTAGAACCCGCTCGTGTTACGCCGTCATCGGCTCCAGGCAGGGACCTTCTCAAGCAAGGGTTGATAAGGAATCTCTGACGTTGTTTCGGCGGCCTGGGTCCCTATCATGCACCTGTCAGAAACTACCGAAGATGACTCGACTGAGTGGCAGAGTGACGTTGTCTGACTCCATCAGCGCCAGCCACCTCGTGAAGGGGATGTTCCGAGTTTGTTACGCACGGTGAACAGCGAAGTTTGATCACACATGGGGGATCTTGAAGCCATACGAGCTCTAGATTGTGAGTGTCGTACTCCCTCCTTTCCGAGAACACAAGAGATTGGTTAAGCCCACACGATTTGCCTGCCATTCTCTGAGCCCTGGGGGGTGCAAGACCACAGATGCTAGAGGATGCTAGAAGACACCCGGAAGATGGTCCATGGAGAGGGTTTAGGGTTTAGGGTTTAGGAGCAAACCCAAAGGCCACATAAAGCCAGGCCGTGCCACGCTGTGCAGACTGATCTGCGCAGCTTGGAGGTGAAAACCACTCCAGGCTTGAGGCCCTTCTCCTGACCCAAGAATTATTTAGGTTCTATCTTATTCTAAAGTATAGTATGGCATAGAATATAATCGTAGATTGTAGTATAGTAGGTTACAGTACAGTATTCTATATTTAATCCAGGGGTGCCGCAGCAAAACACTATGACTACAGGGCCCGGGGGATCTTGTTTCACAACGGTGCCAGTGCCAGCTCGCAAGCGACAACGCGCATGCGAGAGACCCCGTTCTTCTCCAGGTGGCATGCGGCAACTCGTGCGCATGAAAACTTGGTGAAAGCTTGGATCTCGAGAAACGCGATGCCACACCGCCCAAAACCCGAAATGCAAAAACCCCACTGTCCGAAAATCCTAAACCCTAACAATACTAAACCTGCCCAATAACCTTAAACCGCAAAACGCGATGGTCCTTGAGGCACTTTCCAGCATCTGCTGCCGCTTTCTTGCCAGACTCTGTGAGGTCCACATCCATCCATCCTTGAGCAAAAGGGGAAGAGCTTGAAGGGCTTGGGGAGTAGGGGTTTGGGAAGGGGTTAGGGTTCAAAGCCTTAGGGCGAAGGCGACACAAGGAGTTCAGCCCAGAAGACCTGGATGAGAAGATCTGCGCTTAGACTCCAGGTACAAAAGGGAACCTTGCACAGGTTCCTTGATTCCTGTGCTGCGCGGAGCCTGCAAAACTACAGGCACCATCCCAAAACACTTCAAACGAAGCCATGCAAAACATCCCAACCATCACGAGCAAGGCCCCGTTCACCCGATCTTTGGCGACAAAACATTGCCCTTGCACGGCAGCTCCCCGCCTGCGAAGTTCTTCTCTGCCTGTGCCGCAAAACATCCCGGAACAGCCCTGGAGCTCTCTGTTCGTCATAATGATATAATGATCAAAGGAAAGCAAGTAAATAATACTGACAAAAATAGTTGTAGCCATAGCATCGACAACATCTCTGGAGCTCGACCAGCACAACTCTTTGCAGGTGCATCCTGGTCCCAGGCTGGCATGATAGATGCATCTGTAGTCACCTAGAACAACGCAAAACTACTGTTCTTGGTTTCTTCAGGCCATGCGATTGACGCAGTGCAGAGTGCCCATCCGAATTACGGAGCAAAGCTTCACGCTCCACCTACACAAACACGACCAAGCTGTGATTCACAACAGGGAAGTGTTCACCCAGACTAATTAGCAGACAAGCACGCATCTTTCCGATGCCCTTGTCCGAACACACAAAAAACTTTCCTGCGGCGGCCATGGCCGGTACCAATGACACTCGGCCCTCCGGAGGGCAAACCGCAGACACCGAAATACAGACTACTTCAATCTCGGACTGTCTAACCGACAGTAGCTCTCACCCTGAACGGCATCGAGTTCATGTTCAGGTTCACCTGAGTGGCTTGCACATCATGCTCTCGACGTACTTACCAGTGGTGGCATGCTTATTCAGAGCCTTAGGATGGAGTTCACATATTCTGTGGAGTCCACTGCCCGCTGAGCAGCATCGCCGAAAGGTCTGCGCACACGTGTCGGCGCTTCCTTCTCCGGCGGCTGCGGAGCGTGGCCGTCCTCGATGATCTCCTCAAACAATCCGTCCGCCACAAGCAGCTCAAGGCGCAGTTCAGATCCCTGGAGTATACGCAGACGTAGCCAAGCTCATAGCACCGAAACCGAAGCTAGGCTTCGGAGCTCGGGCCTTCTTGTTACCAAGGACACCGCACCTTCCCGCTCCAGAGCTCCCCGAAGCCCGTAAGCCCGCCTTGTTCGCGGGGTATGTTTGCACCACAACCTCAGGTGGGCCGGGAAATTCCATAAATTTCCAGGGCTGGGTCCAACTGCTTGCAGGCAAAAGTTTGGGACGCCAACCCTCGCACTGCGACCAGGAAGCCTTGCCCAGACGAACGGAGCGGGGGCTGCGATTTTCTCGGAGCCGACCCTTCAAGCCTCCTCAGCCGCGACGGGACTGAGCCCAAGTGCTTGGTAAAGGTCAAGTACTGAAGGCTTGTCGAGTGTTGGGCCATGAGGCACTTAAGGCGTCAGTCACGTCGGACCGGACATCATGTCAAGTTGGCAATGTCCGAAAGAGTCTGAATGAACCATTGCAAACTCCTGCCCGTGTTTCGACGATTGTGGCTTGTGATCCCAAAAAAAACTTTAAAAAATCGCGAAGTGCATGCTTCGAGGTCTTAGGCAGACCAACCTTTGCTTCCGAAAAGTCCCACCTGCACCAGGTTCGATCAGCTTGGCCCTCTCCTCGACGACCATATCCTGCGACGGTCAGCCCCACACATGAATGAAAACCTTGCACCTGCGCGATCACCCTCTTTACACCACAATTCAGATTTGACCCGGGTGACCCTGGTGCTTCGGCTGTCCCATGTCCTTACAAACAGGCATCGGTAGCAGCTTCGAGCTCGGCAAGCGAGGAACGTCGCCTGCAGGGCAGCAGCCCCTCTCTGGAGAGGCATGAGAAGAACGCCACTTCTCAAATCTCGCTTGGAACCCAGTTCCTCTTGAGGAAGAAGGCACGAAGGAAGGCAAGCGGCAGAAAGCTCACCGCCGCATCAGAACAGCGGAGACCCTCGAGCCTTACACACTCCTTTTAATTCCTCCTAAGTCCACCCTCCACGGTTCATGGTGTGTGGCCCTGCCTCGGCCCTTGGCCTCGCGGCCCAGGGCCTTGAGCATCCCACGGAGGAAGGCCGCCTTCGAGCAGCGGATTTGGGCGGACTTCGGAGTGTGCAAAACTGAGAGCAGTTTGAGACATTAACGCGGGTCGTCACGGCGACGGGCTCGATGCTCCGCCTCGTTTGCCAGCTTGCTCAGGGATGCATCGAAGTCCTTCCACACGTCCTTCGCTGTTGTTTCAAACTGTGATAGGAACTTCTGAAGGCATGGGCCTGAGCTATTGGGTGCAAGATTTTCCGGTCGTGAAGGACTGAAACAGGAGGGCGCGAAGGGTCGCCATTGAGAAACATCAACATGAACCCACTTGGTGGAACACGGATGAATACGGGAGCCTGTCGAACACTTCATGCCAAGTCGGAAGTCCTCTGCCACTGCACCGTAATCAAGGGGCAGGCCCTCACGGCACACGAAGGCCATGGAATCCTGCACGAGGCCGGTAACCACGAGACTGAACTCTTCGCTGAGCTGAAGTTTTGTCGGGCCTTGCGTACCAAGGGCTCGGACTTCACGGGGCCATATCGACGGTCCTTTCAGGATGAAAGCACTCGGCCTCTGGGCTCTCAAGGTCCGCGGGGGGTCAGCGCTCGGGTCCTCCACTTGCGTCGCCGGCTTCCAGCCCCAGCTGGTTGCCACCGGAGACTGTGGCAAAGGCCCGGGGCCAAGCACCTTGTCACGTTCTGCACTGAACAAGGCTACTTACGTCCATCTTCCAAGCTGAAAGACTACTGTGCCAATGAGAGGAACTCTGCTGGAAGTAGTGCCTTCCAGCCTGTGAGTCTAGAAGAAAACCAGCAAAGAAGGCACAGACCAGCAAAAGAAGCCACGCGGCTGCCGACGTTGCGGGAACCACTGCCATCTTCGGAGACGAGGGCCTTATTCAGGCATACCAAGCCGGACTCAAGACACAGTTCACATGTCCAAAAGTCTGGCCTGTTTCTTCATACGGTGTGAAACGGAAACCGAATGACCAGCAATTCTGCACAGTGGCGACCATGCACGATTGGGTGAAGGGGCACGGGAGCAAATTGGCGACGTCCTGTGGCCGACGCGTTGGTTCAGCTCACGGCGGCGTCGCACTGCACACAAGCATTGGCTGTTGCTTGTTAGTTGTCACTAAGCTGGTACACGAGAAAGCGGTTTTGCTGGAACTCAGTTTTGACGCCCGAGATCCAGCTTGCAACACCGCAGAACTGAATGCAACAAAACCAGGTCCTTGTTCGATCTCCGGTCAAGGAGTTTCGTCGGCCGCCGGCCAGTGTAATTGACTTCCTTCAGGGACAAACACTACCTAACAGCTACCGACAAACCATGGATATGCTCCAAAAACATTGGAATGGTTCTTTGCCTGCCCATGCACACACAGTCCACTGATTGACCACCGGCATGCGTCGCCACGGTATTCTACAGCATGACTCCTTCTCGGTGTTATAGGCTATAACCCTAACCAAGACAGAACATACCGTCCATGCTGGATGACACTGCTGTACAAGAAGTCGTCCTGGCGGCATTTCCATGTTCCGGGCTTCCGTTCCGAACTCCAGCAGGGCTCGTCATCAGAGGACAAGACCGGACAGTGAACTTGCCGTCCAGTCTGTGTGGCTGACGTAGCGGAGCAATACGACCCGCTGACGCGAAATGCGAAGCGATAGCAAATTTACAGTGGTATGCTGTCTACTTGTCCTGCATTGGGCACTATCACCTTCGAAGAAGCTGCATTGAACAATGAAAGGCAAGCCGTCGTTGCACCAACTCCACACTGACTGCAGTCACGCGCATCATGCCAGGTGAATGAAAATCAACCGAAAGCTCTTGCTGTCAAGCTGCACTCCACTCACTTTCGCCATGGCGAAGCAAAACAACCTGCACAGCTTGGAGAATGCAAGAGAGCAACACCACCCAACTACAGATTCTCGACTCGCTTGTACCAGTAGCCAATGCAACAAGTCTCCACAGCATGCAAACAAACATCAAGCGACACCATCCACCTTGTGCACCATCGCTGCTGTCAATGAAAATCGCGACAAGATTACGTTGCTGATGCGCTTTGGACAATAGTATTCGCAATGTGGCAATGAAGACTCAACACATGTCTTGAATGTTGGTGCTTTGACTGCGCAGCTCAAACCTTCGAGCCTAAACATTTAGTGGGACGGCCAATTACGACCACAACATCTGGCTTTCACTGCTTCGCTCAAAACCCAACGATCCCAACACCAACCGATTTCTGACAGTTCCCTTGATCGAAATTGGCTCCGATCGTACACGCAACCTGAATAAGCCATGTTGAGAAACAGAGCTCGCGAATGCTAGTCAAAGGCCAGAAACCTCGGGTAGCAGCGTAAGCACGAATGGATGCTCTTCGATCTGGCTTAAAACTTTAATCCTAATGCAGATCCCTCACCGGCAACACTGGCACGAACATAAATGCAAGCTTTGTTGGATACGTGAGGCTGCGACAGCATGCCAAATTATCCATGCTGTATTCAGACATAGACACATGATGCACAGTAGTATACATCAGGATGAAGAGTTGACAGAAAGGCGAACAAAAATTCCAAGATTAGGGAGAGCAATGCAGTCTTTAAGTTTTCCAAATCTTCTTAGAAAATGCTGTCGACCAACTGTGAGTGCATGCGGCATGTCTGT